TAGGCATTGTGATATAGTTTTAAGTATTTATATTCAAATAAAATTGTTCCCATTTTTTAAAAAATAATTAAAAAAAAATAATTTTAATTACTAGAAGAATTTTATACCAATAACAAAATCAAAATTTTTCTAATTTATTAATGTTTTGTACTTTCCGAAGTGAAAACCAAAACGTCAAAATAAACTTATTTTAAAGATAGAGTAGTTGGGGGCAAAAACACGCTGTTTCATTATCCCCTGTCATCTTCAGAAATGAAAATAGTTTAGAACTTTGCTCTTTATCGTTATGGGAAAAATGAATATCACAAGAAGCAATACTTCCTCGATATCAGAGATTGATGACGATTGATTCATAAGATGATAATTCGTCAAAAACGTTCCTTTTAGAAGCACGAAATTTAGCACTTTGAGATTTAATCTTTTGATTCTTCAGTAATGCTTTCCTGTCTTTCTCTTTTTCTTCTTCTTTCTTTTCTTCTTGTTCTTCTTAAAGTCGCTTCTTATTAGATGTCGATGTTAGTAGGGTTGATTTCAAACTTTTCCTGGTTGGTTTCCTTTTTATCTTAATTTTTGGGAAGGAACTAATGTCTGAAGGGGAAATTACTGTTTGAATTTTGATGATGGCTGAGGCTCTTTCGTGTTAGTAACAGTTTCTGTTTCAGGATTTGAAGGTCTAGGTACAAAAATTCTGACTTCCTATTTTGATGACGTCTGGAACTCTATCACATCAGTAACAAGTCGTTCTTCTTCTTTTTGAAACTGGATATAAACATAACCTTTATCGTATAAATCTTCACCTAAATGGTCTGTTACTTCCGCTGACATAAAATCTACGTCAAAAAAAAATATTTTTATCTATTGGGTAGATTCCTGTAGACCTAAAGATCTCTCTTGCTATATCTACAGTAGTAGTTTTTGCAAATGCTGTGAAAGTAACACCAGCCATATGATAAATGTAGGGGACCTGTCCTGGATGGAAGCTGGTCCAGCTGTCAGCGACTCTCTCATAATAAGCTTCTTATCATTTTAAAAAAATTCCCGATCGAATGGCTGGGTCTTACAGTTGCTATGTATTGGCAGACTTAATAAATGGATGAAATTATCTTTTGCAAATGTTACTGCTTAAAGACTTGTGCGCGATACATGAATATCTAGAATCAGAAGAACGGGGTTCTCCTTAGTTAGACTTGTATGTGTTTTAAAATGCTCCACGTACTTCTTTCTCTCCATGCGATCCATGCTGTCACTATCAGTAACAGCCATGTCGCAGGCAGTGAGCCCGTCTTTGATAAGAAGAAGATTCATCCGTTTTTAAGCAAATAAGAAAAATGGAGGGACATGGTGGCCAGTTGTACTCATACAGCAAATAGCCGTAATTGTTTTTCTGTGTACGTCAGCTACAGCTTTTGCTACATCTCTCTTTCCAACTGGGGCAACATATTTGAGCAGATGGTTTGGGACTGTCCGAATGCCCGTTTTATCGACGTTATAGATACGGTTGGAAGGTGTCTTATATTTTCTTATAGTGTTCTCCAAAATTTCAAAATACTGAACTAGTTGCAATTTATTGAAGCTTATGGTTCTAGCAATACTTAATAATAAGTAAAAAATAAATTTACCTTATAGTTTGTAAACAACGCCTTAAATCAGTTTTAAACTTCGAACAACGCATATGGCACACTATTGCCAAATGTTTGTAACTAAAATCTGTTTAACACTAGAAGCACCAGCATTTGTGCATACCTAGAAGCACCACCGGCGGTCAAAATGACGGATATTAGAATTTTCTATTGCCAGCGGTTTTTGTATTCTTTTTTATTTGATAAAAAAAATATTTTTTACATATGTGACAAATTTCAAATGTTTTATTTTTGTTGCAATTCCCTGTTTGACACTGCTTACGTTTATTATTTGGTAGTTTTTTTATACCTCTTGGATTTGTATCTGTTGATGTTGTTCTGCCCTTAATCATGTGATCTTCTCGCAATTCTTCTGCTAACTGAAGTAGGAAATCTCGCCTACATATTTGACTGCCCGTAACTTTCTTATACAGAACCCAAGTATTTATTCCTGCCATATCTAAAATATTAAAAAAAACTTGCAACGGCCATCTTCTTGAAGCAGATTTGGTTGAATACAGTCTAGCCATCTGATCTACAATGTCTACTCCGTATCTTGTCTGGTTGTAGAAGATGATGGTTTTCGGTTTTTTCTTTTTATCTGTGCCCATTTTAATATCATTCGAGTGTAAAGAACTCAGCACTAGAACATTTTTGTCGACTTTTCCCTGGTACGCCGTTAGCGTCAAGTCTTTGTGTTTAAAAAGTTTTGTTTGTATAATTCCATCTTGTCATTTTTTACTGACGGTGGAATATCCTTTCTTGTTCGGTTGATTGTTCCAACAATGCTGGTAGCCTTCTTTCGTAATTCTTTTGCCAACTTTATGGACGTAAAGAAATTATCTGTGGTGACATTTCTTCCTTTAATTATAAATGGTTCCTTTAGATATCTAACAACATGTTCCCCCAGAAGTTGATTGGCTGGTCGTTGTTCATCTTTCCCTAGGTAAGGAAATCCGTTCAACAAATATTTGGACTCGACATCAGCTGCAAGCCAGAATTTAATTCCAAACTTATCGGGTTTATTCGCCATGTACTGGATAAAGCGGCAACTTGCCTTCGTGGAAAAAAACTGTCCGTCGATAACATAATATACAATTATCTATAAATAGGTGCCATATTCCCGACGCAAGTGCAAATTTATCTGTTGATAATCGCTCAGACCGGGTATTTCTCATATCAAAACGGATATAAAACTCATTATTTGTGTAAATTTGTTTCTAAACATCGTCTCTGGAAAAAATTTTGGACCCTATGTATCAGACCACAGCATCTTTATGCTAACATTTCGTGCCATATAAGCTCCCCTAGCACACAGTAAGGATATAAATGCTTCGATTTCTTCAATAGAAATTTGTCAATTTTCATCTTTGAGTTTTCTTCTACCTTCAGCAACAGTACATAATTTTATGTTACGGAGTATGCATTCATCAATCAACATCCGCCGTGCACTAGCTGCAGAATCTCTAATAATGCTTCTCTTAGCATGAGGGGTTGGTCCAGCAGCTTCCTTTAGAACATTTTAACTGGTACGCCTTCCTAAAATGAACGAGATAAATTAGTATGCAGGTATATACTCATTCATTTATTTATTTAAATAAATGGCACCTTAATAAATAAAGAATGGGACAACAACCAAAAAATAAGAGCGCGCATCGGAAAAGCTAGATCCACCTTCAACCAGATTTCTTCTTCAACCAGGGGGCCTTCTTCAAGAGCCATAACCTCTCTCTTGGTATAAAAGTAAGGATGCTGCGATGCTACGTCTTCTCTGTTCTTTTTTATGGTGTTGAATAGTTAACCTTGGCGAAGATATATGTAGAAAATTGAAAGCATTCGAGCTGTGGCTAAATCGGAGAACACTTCAAATCCCGTGGACCACTATCAAATCTCTAAAGTTACAGTATTTCGAAAACATTGTGGGAAATGAATCTAGATGCGTCCTTCTACAGACCATCCTGCAAGGAAAAATATTTGGAAACCGGGGTCTAGGAAAAAGAACATCCTGCAGATAAGGTAAATATTGCCATGATTCTCGCCAATATTCGTGACATCAAAAAGAATATGCTCAAAAATATTATACACCTAAGTGGATACATAAATAAAAGCTACTAATATAATATAGTTGCGTACCTGGTGTACTAGCATTGTTGTCAAGTAACTCCCATCCCATGATATCTATGGAAGAATTCTCTAAATTACTTCTGCGAATTCCTCTTACCTGGTTGGCAATCATTTCTGAAGATGTATTGAAGTCTGCATTCAAAGTTGAAGCAGAAGTACTGGGCATCACCTCAATCTCAACTTCACCTTCAGAATCACTGCCGATGACTGTCCTTGATCAACTGTATTAGGCACATACTCGTCAACTTCATTATCGGATACATCTTCATCAGATAACTCTGCTACAGATTCATCTTCTGACAAATTCTGTAGACACTCTAATAGCTCCTGCTGACTCAAATATCGGCGAGACATGATAACAGCAGAAATAATAAAAATCACAATGAAAAATTAATCAAAATACAGATTGAACATGCCATTGCAAAGAGTATACTCAAACTAAATAATAACAAATATTTTCGATGTACTTTATACATAAAATAAGTAAAACCTTTCCAGAAAAGTAGAAAAAAAATTAGACTACCTCGTCATTAGGACCGCATTTTTCTAGGTAGACATCAACATAAATATATTCAAAATGTAATTATACTAAGTACCTCTAAAAGAGAAATTATAATCCTCAAGTAAATAATAAAGTCCCAAATCATAAATTTTGTAAAATAAATATGAATGAGTAATACCTACTCTAGACTAATAAGGGTCGAAAATAGAAAGCAGTCAAAATGACTGCTATATGGTAGTTCTAGCTATACGTTACCATATCTTAAAAAGTAATTACGCTAAGTACCTGTAAAAGAGAAATTATAATCTTCAAATAGATCAAGAAAAAGTCATAACTTATCAAGTTTTTGAACATTTATGAATAGGTAATACAGAGTGTCAAAAATGAAAAGCAGTCAAAATGACCGCTCTGGTGCTTCTAGTGTTAAACTGGACATTAGCGGCAAATTTAAATGAGGTGCGTTCTTTTGCCCCGTAAGTGTTTTTACCCCCAACCATCCTATTTTTAATCAAAATAGTAAATTGCATTAAGATGTAAAAAAAGGAGCTTAAAAATAATATAAAGTAAATACAGAGTGTAAATTACAAGTATTAATTAACGACATTACTATTTCCATCTTAATAATATCATTTAAAAACAGAGTTGTTATATTGATAGATACGCATAATATCAAATAATTCAAGAGAGTTTCTAATTTAGAATATAATTACAGGTGAACAACACAATTATTAAAACTACCTTTTTTGTTATTTTAGATACTAATGCGGCTCCCAAAGATAAATTAAGAATTGTCACCAGGATTAATTGGGTCGCGAAACCTCCTTCGGGACCGATAGATAACCTGACCCTTCCGGTTTCATTAGTAGTCATTCAACATACCGCAACAGAATCCTGCAATTCTCAAGCTTCTTGTGCCTATCAAGCACATACAATCCAAACCTTTCACATGGAAAGTAGAAATTGGAGCGATGTCGGGTACAACTTCATGATCGGAGGAGATGGCGCTGTTTATGAAGGTAGAAGTTGGACCAAAGTAGGAGCACATACTTTAGGAGTAAACGATAAAAGTATCGGTATTGCTTTTATCGGAACTTTCACGGATCACGTGCCGGCTGCATTGATGCTCAATGCTTTTCATAATCTAGTCAATAAAGGTGTACACGATGGTTACATAACAAAAGACTATAAAGTGATGGGTGCTAGGCAATTTTCTGGAACCGAAAGTCCAGGAAAAGCTTTCTATGATATAATAAAAACGTGGGTGCATTGGTCTGAAAAACTGTAAAGCAAAAAGTAAATGAACAAGTACAAATAAAAAAATATGTGCTCAATTATTTTATATTAAGTCTTTTTCTTCTTCTTAGCCTTCTATCGTCCATGTTTGGACATAGGCCCCTCCCAACTCCTTCCGTCGGTCTCTATCCTGAGCAACATATTCCCAATTTGTGCCGGCTATTCTTTTGATGTCATCAACTCATCTTATCTGTGGTCTTTCTTTAGGTCATGTAATTTTGTAAGGTCTTTAATATTGTATTGTAGTATTCCAACGTTGGTGTTTTTGTCTAGCAGTGTGGCCCGCCAAGCTCCATTTAAGTTTGGCAATTTTTTTTGTTATATCCTCGACTTTTGTTTTTAATCTTACCTAGTCGTTCCTCTTTTTATGTGACAGTCATATACCTAACATTGCTCCTTCCATTGTTCTTTCTGTTGTGGCTAGTTTATTTATGTTTGCCTTGGTTAGGGTGAAGGTTTGACATCCATATGTCATGATAGAAAGGATTGGTTGAACACTTTGCTCCTCAAGTATTTGGTATTTTGCGGTTTTTAAGTATCCAACTATGTTTTCCAAATCCTGCCCATGCTAGTCTTGCTCTACTAGCATGGGCAGGATTTGTAGTAATTTCCGCACTTTGGTTCTCCTTGTCAAGTTTCAGGATTTGGCCTCGTAGATATATTCCTGGATTTGTTCCATCTCACTGTCATTTATAGTTATACTTCTGAGGTCATCTGTGTTTGTTATTATTTTTGTCTTTTTTTTTCATATTCATTTTTAGGCCGACGTCTTGGGAGCTGTCTGCTAGTTCTTTCATCATAATTTGTAGTTCCTCTAATGTGCTCGCTATAACCACTATGTCGTCAGCGAAACTGAGGTGGTTTAACTTTTTGCCATTAATTTTTAAGGCCATAGGTTGACCAATTTGTAATTTTAAAGGCGTTTTCTTGGGCAAGGTTGAAAAGTTTTGGATATTACGTCTCCTTGTCTTACTCCTGTCTTAATGGGGATGGGATTTGTATTTTCGTCTAGTTTATACTATTATAGTTACATTTTCAAGTATATTATGTATTAGTTGCCTTGACCTCGAATTTATTCTACAATTATTAATAGCTTTTTCTATGGCCCACATCTCGATACTATCAAACGCCTTTTCATAGTCGACGAAGGCAAGAAATACGGGAAGTTGGTATTCATTTGCCTTCTCTATCAATGTTCTCATTGTCAGTAGATGGTCTGATGTACTATGTATATCCTTTGCGGAAGCCAGCCTGTTCAACCGGTTGGTAATTGTCAATTTTGTAGGTCAGACTGGTTGTTAATAATTCTCATAAATAGTTTGTATATTTGACTGAGCATTATATAGGTCTACAATTCTGTAGATTACATTTGTCTCCTTTTTTGTGTAAGAGTATTACTAGACTTTCGTTCCAGTCTTTAGGGATCTTTCTATTATGGAGACATCTATTAAATAGCTCTATTAGTATAGGGATTGTTAAGGTCTTGCTTGTTATCAAGAGCTCGGCAATTATACCGTCGTGTCCTAGAGCTTTATTATTTTTTAGTACTTTTAAAGCTCTTTCTATTTCGAGTCCCTTTATATTTGGTAGTACTTCTGACCCCACGTTTTTTATTTTTCTTTTGACGTTCTCCTTTGTTGTTTCATTAAGCTGGCTTTATGAGCTGTACAATGATGTGTAGAAGTCTTCGACAATATTTGTTATTTTATATTTGTCCTTCTCTTCCTTATTGTTGGCGTCTTTAATTTTAATGGTTTTTTGAACTCCCAGTGCGGGTCTTAGACATTTTAAGCCTCTGTTGTTTTCAATGACTCGCTCTATTAAGTTCTCGTTCGATTTTTGTATGTCGCGTTTTAGTTATTTATATTAAGTACTCTCTGCATTTCGATTAGATAGACAGAAATTTTAAATGTTTATTTCGCTCCTTAAAAAATCGTTTATTAAATACTCTTTTAAATGTGTCAGTACAATGGACTTTGTAACAAAAATTACAGGAAGCGTTTAGTGTACTGATAAAACTGTGAGATAATTAAATTTTTTAAAATTGTATAAACTATATATAAATAAATGATTTTTGTTTAAAGTTTAGAAAATTCGTTTTTTTTAATTGTAGCTATGAGAGCAAGAGTGGGTTAACCCCAAATATTGAATAGTGGATTTAGATAAACCAAGAATGTATGCGTTTTTTTGAAATTTTATAAAATTAAAATATGATGTCGAAAGGTAGTCATTGTTTACAAATTATTAACTAATAACAAAAAATTCGAAAATCTTGCAGTATATTTAACAAAAATATAAAAATTTAAGCTTTTTTGTGGATTAGACCGCTTTTGCATCAGTGTGCCCATAAAAATTTTAATAGGAATATGGATTAGCCCTAGAGTACAATACAATTAAACAATATCAATGTTAAAAATATGCTTTATTAAAAAACAAAGTAAATAAATACTTAATCTTTATCGTTATTGACCTCTTCTTCTTGCTGTATAGTGGATCTTATTGTTCTGGTGTTTGTATAAAATCCATGATGTATTGGAGGTATAAATGAAACTAATTTCAAAAGATCCTTTCTTTTGCTTCGGTTATTATACGTCCATCGGGATAAAGATAATATAACTGAAGTATTTCCCGGGATGTTCTCTTTTTGACATCTAGTGAGTAAAAGAGAACGTCTGCATTATTGCTGTATTTGTAGTAAATTGTAAATGGATTTTTTTTCTTGTATTGCAATCACTGAACCTGCAACCATTGGTCTTTTGATTTTTGTGTATCAAGTTTGCGATTTGTTACATTTCTTTATAACTTCTTAGTAAAATAAAAAATCCTTTTCTGTCGTCTTTATTAATGTAAAATGTGCTTTCTTTCGTTTATCCAGTCGTCAGGTATGTAAATATATTTAAAACATTTTTTTGCTTACTTTTTACTTCAAAATCTTGGTCACAGGCAAGGTAAAAATGTCCGCTGACTAAAAACTTATAATCAGTATTTTTCACCACAATACCAGAATGAGACACAATAAAATCGCAAAGTATAGCCATTTTAATGTTACGGTTCTGCCCACCGCATTGATCGGAATATGGTATTACATGTTCTGTTGTAACAACATTTTTAAAAAATTGCAGTAAACAGAATCCTGTTTCTTGAGGTCCTCGTGATGCTTATGTCTCGTTCCAAACATACATATGAGCATTATTAGTAGCCAAATTATGGATTCCTAGGACGTAAGTACACAACTGGCGTTTATAGTAAGAAATTCCAGTGCTGATAATTGGTACTGGATAAAAGAGAAGAACTGCACTACACAGTCTAATTTCCACCTTAACACAAACATCTATTCACTGGAAGGTTAGATTGTGTGATACGTATCCTTGATTAGCAGTAAAAACCGGTGTATCGTACAAAGAGGAGGGTTAGCCCACTCTTGCATTCTTTTACGTATTTAAGTATTAAACAAATTTGGCCTATTACACAACTTCGTGGGTTAGCCCATTCGTGTTTTCAAATATTTTTGTTATTTTCTATAATGCAAAATCACCTTACTGGAGAAATTTATGTTAAAATATACGAAAATATTGGTTAAACCGGTTTGGTTTTAAAACTTTAGGTCGTTAGAAGTGATATAACTCAATTATCAACAAAATGTTGGTTAGCCCACTCTTGTTCGCATAGCCTCAATTTTCTCCTTGGTCACCATATATTTTATAATGATTATGGTTATAATGGTTATAATACAGTAAATTTACTGTTTGTATTTTGAGAACGATTTCCGAGGTGGAACTTGAAACGTCAATAAACGTATTTTTATCTTTAATTGTGGCTTATTCCCAGTTAAATAATAATTAATTTAAAATGCCACGAGAAAATAGCTTCAGAACAATATTAGCTGCATTTAGAATCACACCAGTTAAAAACTTCCAATGCCTTACAGGAGAACCACCTTTTACCCTACAAAGGAAGAATTTACGCATCTCGTATGTATCTTTAGTTGTCAGTACCAATTCCACCTAGTACTTCGAAATACATTTACGGACCGTTACCTAGAAACTTATAAAAAAGTGAGTTTGATTTACCATTCTATAAAAGAATCCAAAGAAATTTAACTCGTTCATAGGTAGTGGAAAGTATAATTGCCACCATATATTATCAATGATCTTCAGGCAGTGTACATTAATTTTTCCACCGTTTGAAGCTGCTGCCACCTGGTAGTGCTATCATTGAATCTACGAAAATTACTTGAAAGCTAAGGTACAGATATAATTATCATCACAGTTACCATTCATACTTATAATTGAATAAACGCTGTTTTTGATGTTTTTTTGTGCTGTTATGTTCTAGTTGTGAATAAATATATGTTTACTCAAAATTAAGGTAAGTGCAAAGGATTAAAATATTATTTTTCTATTCTTTTAAATTTTATACAGATGTTTACATAAAAACAATGATAATAGAAAGTATTTGACGTACACCAAATCTATATTTTTAAGTAAGTTTTATGCTTTCTACCGCCCATCTTCGTTTTTCATTATTTTTATTATTTTATTAGTAGGAAATGTTGAATCTAGATAACCCTAGAAATACTAGGGCCACATTAGCTTATTTATAGTCTTTGAAAAACTGTTCAAATTCGTATGGTGTGAATACAGCCTGTTTGAAATCTTCACATACCTACTCAATATTCAGATATTTTTTTCTCTCCCTACATCTCCGTTACATTTTCAACCATATTTATTAAAAGATTGTAGAGATGAAGAAAATAATGAGAAATGAGATCAAAACAGAGATTTCTTTGACAACCTTGCACTTGATTTTTCCAAAGATGCCAATTCTGCATACGATTTTAACATTAAAGACAAAGAAATCTGCTATTTTAACAAAATTTTTGATTTAGATATTTTTAATACGATAATTTATTAGACTAATATATTAATAATAAGACCTAAACGGGCTAATAAGACAAATGTTAAAAAATATTCATCTAATAATTGACAATATTAAAATTTAGATAAAGTACAGGCCCTAATTGGAGTAATGATTAAAATGGGAATATATACACTTCCTCAGTTTTTCAATTACTGGTCCACTGATCCATATTTAGGCGTGTCAGCAGTTTCGCAAGTGTTTTAATCTAAGAGATACAAAAAACTAATTAAAAATTTATAACAGAACAACAATGAAAATGCAGCGTCTCGAGGAAAACCTCAATATAAGAAAATGCTTAAGGTGAGACCACTTATGAAAAAACTAAACAGTACAATCCAATCTACGTATAACCACTTATCTTACTTAGCTGTTGATTAATCAATGATAGTATTCTAAGGCGAATCATCGCTTAAACAAGACATGCAAAAATGAAACATGTCAAATAAGGCTACACAATATGGCATTTGGCAGATTCCGTTACAAGCTATTATACAAATTCTCTATTTACACTGGAAAGTCGGCAGACGTTGACAGAGCAAAAACGAAGGTGAAAAGGTTATTATAAGCCTTGCAAACTGTCCAAAATAAAGAAATATTTGATAGCATTTAATAATTTCTTTACATCCCTTCCTCTTATAAAAAAGGTATTGAGTGATAAGATTTAATCTGTTGGTACGGTGAGATCACACAGAAAGAAATTACCAGATATGAATAAAAGTAAAATGAAGATGTGCAGTGGAGAGTTTATGTTTAGTACAAAACAAAAGGTGGCTCCAATAAAGTGGATGAATAATAAACTAGTCAACATCTTTAGCAACTATTTCTCTCCACGACATACAGATTTTGCCAGTCGTAAAAATAAAGATGGCTCCACAACAAATGTGTCATGCTGCAAAGCTGTACGCGTTTATATAAGGTAATGGAAGGTGTCGATAAGTTCGTAGACGTAAGATACGTAGACAGAAAAAACTCAACTAACTATGATTTCGCAAACAAATTCGTACTGTTTTTAGCAAATAAAAGTTTAGTTCCAAATTAAGTGAGAAAATCGGAAGTTGATAAACATATGCCAAACAAGGAGAAAAATTATAGGCGATGTAGGATGTGCAGTACTAAGCAAAATGAGAAAAGGACTCAGTATATCTGCACTTACTGCAATCTTCCATTCTGCGTAACGTCCTTAATGCCTTCCAATTATGCCTAACGAAATTTCATTGTTAATGAAATGTATTTACTCGTTTATGAATAGACATTGTTTATTTTATGAGTTCTAAATAAAAATAATTAATTTAATGTGCTCCTTTTTTGAATTTACATGTTTTGCGAATTGGCACTAAAAAGTATAATTCCTATTACCCTAATAAAACATGGGAAGGGGCAAAATAAAATTTTTTTGACACTATGAATCATTAGGGGCAGTTATATAATTGTTAACTGTTTAAAAAGATTTTCAACTCCTGACCTCTTTCCTTCAAATATAAAAACTACCCCTCACTGGTTATTCATGATTCCGAAATCAGTACCAAACTTCTAAAATATCACATATTAGAGACATCATCTAATGTAATCCAACAGTAATTTTTTAAGGAACTCGAGTCTTGCGGGGAAAGTTTTTGTGTTTATACCGATGCTTCCAAATCTGCAAACGGCGACGTAGGAGCAGCATTTGTCACTCCACATTTCTCTTTCCAATTTAAATTAATGTCAACGACTTCTATATATACAACAGAATTATATGCAATATTACAAGCCCTCATGGATATCAAAATAGTCTCAAAAATATTCTTGTATATCAAAAATATTCTTTCTCAGTCATTATTACAGATTCTCTAAACTCCTTAACAACAATTGGACAACTATACACTAAGAACCCGTAATTCAAGAAAAATCAACAAACATCATTTGAATTTTAAATAAAAAATTAAATTGTGTAAAATTTATTTAACCCTACATTACTACCCGGTATACCCCAGGCTGTCGTAAAAGTCCTGTATTTTTTTTACTTTTGGTAACACGGTAACGCGCGCTCGTGTAATTTCTTGTTTTAGCAGGTCAGTTGTTATCTTGCAGTCGCTGAGTCATTATGTGCTGTTGTTTAACACGTACTTTGATTTTGGGGTTCAGCTGTACCTCGGGTAGTATTACGATTATATTTTTACAT